TAAAATAATATTGAGTAATGTTATTCATCCCCAATGGAGATGAAAATACAGTTTATGTGATTTTAAATGATAGGTTAAATGAAATGTGAAATTAAATGACTTATTTAATTTCACATATCATTTAATGTCATATTGACGCAATGTAGACTGTGTTTTCATCCCCAATGGGGATGAATAGCATTACTCTATTTTTTTTAGGATTTTTTGACATTTCGAGTAAGTTTTTGATACTTTAACACCTGCGGAAAAAGGAAAAACCTGTATATTAATATTATACTGAGAGATTACCAAATACATCAACACATAATTATTAGCGAACAATTCTTGGTGGTTGGAGGGGGTGGGGGGGGGGGGGGAGTCCAATGAATTCTTCAGGATTAGGTGGATTAGAAGACGAAGAAAGAGCAAAAAAATTCAAGATTTAGGATTGTACCTACATTTTCTTCCATACTATCTTGTATTTTTGTCAACAAACCATGATAGGTTAAATTTTTTATTGTTAGGATTACGATAAAATCTTATTAGTTTTTTTATTAATTAATTGTTTATTTTTAGTTTAAATTCTATTTTGATGTTTGATCATCATCTGAACGTTTTTGGTGATTGAAGTTAGGACGTGATAATTAAAAACAATTCTGCTACAGTTACATTAATGTTGACTGTTTTTTGACCGTGTGTGAGGTAACACACATGTTCTTTTTAATTGTTTGTTTTAGTAGATGATTAAAAACTACTAACATCCAATAATTAATTGTTTATTTTCGTAATTAGAGTTAGTTTTATCTATGTAAAATACGTAAATAATCCATTATTATTAATTGTATACCATCTGTAACGATGTGATGTGAGAGAAACAATTATTGGAGAGATAAATGTACGGCGGTTAAAGCAGAGGAAACGTGATTCCTGTTCCGAGACGTGCCACGGCCTCTTAGTAATGCGCCACGCGTTGCATAGATTATGTACCCAATACCTTACTATTCATGCAAATTATTAGCTGGTAGATTAAAATCATTTTTTTAAAAGTTAATAAAATATAGGTATAATTGTAGCGGAAATTTCAAACATTTGAAATACTTTTTTAAAATCTTTCATTTGTTGTATTCGTCACCCCTAACATTTTCAACAATTACATGTGAGGTCCTTTTAAATACTTTTCATCCATTTTTTCTTCAATGGACAACCAAAATTAAGTTTGATCATATTTTAATCAATTTTAAAAGGGCAAAATGATAACTATCTATTTACCACATTAAACAATTAAAAATTAAATAAAAGAAAAATATAAGTATCTCTTCTTTACCCCACCCCAACCCAAAAATAAAAATCACACAACCGTCTTCAACCAGTCGGTGCCACCTCCACCGCAAACCGCCGACGACACCCATGCTAGCCACAACGCCTTTTTCGGCTAACACCCATATTGGTAGCCACCAAACGGACTCCTCTCGAGCCTATCCCTATTCAATATGATGCATCCTGGACATTTCAAGCCATGAATTCAACTGGAAATGTAATTCAAGTCTAACAATTATGGAAAACACACCAATTGAATTCCCTATCCGTGAACCACACACAAATTCAAATAATCCTACTAAGACTGAACCCAGCATTTGAAGTTTGATGCACAAATTTCTCACCAAATTTTTACTAAAAACGAATTTAGCTAGAGAATTAAGGCAACGGGAGAGAGAGGAGACGATTGAACATAAGGACTTAGATGAGGAGAGTGAAATTTGGGCCAGGATTTGAAGTTGAAATCGTGCAACCAGAGATGGTGGTGGTGGTGGTAGTTGCGTCTGTATCAGATTTTTGGTCCTTCTTTGACGTGTCTTTGGAATCTGATAGTTCGGCCCCTATATTAGTCTGGTATAGGACAAGTGATAATGGTCTCGACAAGTGGAGCTCTGGTTGAGAAGTCGATTTTCGTTGGAACCGATGAAGAGAGACGGGTAGGGTGATTTTGCAGTTGGGTATGGGGTTGTGGGGGGGTAGAGGGTGGGTAAAGAAGAGATCATTTCTATTCTTTTATTTTTTTTATTTTTTATTCAATTATTTTAATAGATATTTACCATTTGCCCCCTTTAATTGATTAAAATATGGTCAAACTTAATTTTGGTGGTCAAATGAAGAAAAAATGGATGGAAACCATCCAAAAGTGACTCACATGCAATGGTTGGAAAGATGAGGAGTGGCAGGTACAACAAATGAAAGGTTTGGGGAAGTCTGGTAGTGTTTCAAATGTTTGGAGCTTTTGCTACAATTATCCCTAAAATATATAATTAAATCATTATTAAAATTTGAATTTTAATCCATACAAAGGCATAATACTATTTGATTCTATCAAAAATCTGTACCTATTGGATCTCGAACTGAATATTTGAATACTGCACGAACTGATCTTCAATACCTAAAACAAAAGCGTCGAAGTGTGTCCTCCTCGCGCCTCCAATATTTAAGTTAGAAAGATAATTTATGCATAAGGTTATGTACTGAAAATTATGTAACAGTGTATCTAAATAAAGAACATGGATCATGTATTTATAAATGTTGGTGATTGAGTTCTAAAAGGATCCAACCAAGTATAGTGATTGTCCTTATCATGCAAGGTATTTGTATTATATTGAAAGTGTTTTGTTTTAGTTTGAATCAAACTTATGATAGGTAAGTAGTTTGGATTAGGATAAAGGTTATGGAAAGTTACAATCAAAGTAGGATTAATGTTTCCAATAGGTATGAGCAGGGGCGTAGCCCAGTACAGCCCAGGATGGGCACAGGCCCACCCTGAACTTTGGGCTCAA